ACACCCCCACATCTCCTGGTACGCACCTGCATCACAAGGTCGCCGTCACTCCAGTCACACACGTCCTTGACATAGGCAAGAAGCTTGAGGTTATGGGCAGAGGGCACTCCGCCCAGACAGTGCAGCCGTGCTTCACCATCACTCGACGCCATCGCCAGACTCTCTTCGCCTCACACAGAAAGGGGAGAGAGAGGGGGGGGGAGGGAGGGAGGGAGGGAGAGAGAGGTGGGGGTGGTGGGGTGGGGTTGGGGGACACGCAGCGGACTGGTCGAGGCAGCTCACATGGTCCGACCCTGTCGACATGTGCGTCACATACGGTAGCGGTGAGCCGTGATGGCGAGGTTGGTGGTCAGAGGGACAGAGTGATGGGTGTCAATGATGGTGATGGTGGTGGTGATGGTAGCTGCGACGGGGACACCGGGGTCGATGGCCTCGGTCGATCTTCCTCTCGGGCAGGTAGCCAGCACGCGGTCCGGCCACTCGGCGCCTTAGCCAGAGGAGCAACACCTGACTCCCAGGGGAGAAGGATGAGTCACTCCACTTGGGGGCGGACTAGATGCCATCGACTCGCCGTCGCACTCCCCACTCAGGCAGCCACCTTGCAAACGCGCGAATCCTCTCACACCTCCGCGCGCTCGCCTGCACACGCGCACACCTGCAAACACAGCGGGAACGCGGGAGGCCGCACGGCGAGAAGGCTATGGATGTAGTATACAATGCGTCACGGCCCAAGTTGATGCACGGGCTGGTGCTGGTGATGGTGCTGGTGGTGGTGATGGTGATGGTGATGGTGATGGTGATGATGGTGGTGATGGTGCTGGTGGTGGTGATGGTGATGGTGATGATGGTGGTGATGGTGATGGTGATGATGGTGGTGATGGTGATGGTGCTGGTGATGGTGCTGGTGGTGGTGCTGGTGGTGGTGCTGGTGATGGTGCTGGTGATGATGGTGGTGATGGTGCTGGTGGTGGTGATGGTGGTGGTGACGGTGGTGGTGATGGTGATGATGTACAATACTGTTCTCGTTGGGCCTTGTCTGTCACGGTCACCATCCCCATCCGCAGCACTGGCCATCGCCACGTTCATCAACATTCCCTTGACCACACCAGCACACACCACAAAGCACCTCCTTCCACCCTCCCTCCATCCCGTCCACCCAATCACCTCTAACCCCCCCCCTATGGAGGCTAGGGTCTTCGGGTTCCTCCCGGA